TTGAAATTTTTAGAAATAAAGAATTAAAGGAGTGCTTCCTAAGGCTTAGTGATATTCAAAGCAGTCTAATTGTAATAAACTTTTTTATTCACAAACTTCTACATTTACCACAATACCATCAGATTGTCCAGAATTTGAGGTTTGGAGTTTGATACGGAAAATAATAATCCTTCCTTAAATAGTTAGGTTACGTGGTGGAAGCAATGTGTGAGAATTCTCTGCAGAGTTGTATGTATGTATTGATTGATTGTGCTTTCATAGTGGCCAGTAACAGGGCTTAACAGGTCTCTTACCAGTTGAAATATTAGTATGAATAATAAAATAGTACAAAATACCATAAAACAATATACATATATATTGAGACACCAGCAGAAAGTTCAGAAACACTAGCTCAGGGGTAGTCAACCTTTTTATACCTACCGCCCACTTTTGTATCTCTGTTAGTAGTAAAACTTTCTAACCGCCCACCAGTTCCACAGTAATAGTGATTTATAAAGTAGGGAAGTAACTTTACTTTATAAAATTTATAAAGCAGAGTTACAGCAAACCCCTCCCGCCCACCATAAAAGCTGGAACGCCCACTAGTGGGTGGTAGGGACCAGGTTGACTACCACTGCAGTAGCTAATGGCAAAGAGAAATGGTTAACCTATCCAGATTTCCTTGTTCAGGAACATAGAGAATTTAAAATGAAATGTTTGTTGAATTAATAAATGAATTATGGAAGAAAATAATTAACTTTAGAGAGATTTATTTCTCAAAATTTAAAATTTCATAATTAATAGAGAAATTTAACATAGATAAAGAAGTAATTGGAATTGAAAAATATAAAATGGAATTAAAAATTTAAGTGTGATGAACATGTGTTTCTAAAACACAGACGTTTGCTCAGATTTGAAATGAAAGGACCATTCCCAATGGTAGCTTGTCACAGAAAAGTATACATATTGTAATGAGATTCTCAATAAGAAGAATAGAAAATGTAGAAATGATGAAATTAGTACAGAATGTAATTGTTTCAGAAATGATATATAATGCAGTTTCAAATATCAAATATTTTACTATGAAAATTATTTGATGGAGCATCTAAGCAACATGCTTGAGTGTAGAATAAGTGTATGTAGCTGACACTGACATCATAATTATCTAGATTATATTCCTGTCTCCTATTTGCTCCACAACAGCAACCCTCTAGAAGTTGTCAGCAGCTAGAAAGAAATAGATAAAATTGACATGAATAATGAAAAATGAACTTTCCTTCCATACTTTTCAAGACTAATTCTGACAACCTTTCAGAATAAATTCTCAAAACAAATTTTTGCCTTATCCTTTACAGCCTGAGATCCTAAGGGATGTCCCTTCAGAGTCTCTTGATCTGCCCTCTATTTAGCTGTGGGCTGTACATTCTTTTAATTTGTTTCCAAACCAGCATGTCTTTGCCCAATCTGACATCATACCATCTCCTAAGATTTTCTCACATACCATTACCTGCTGCCTCCTCCCCGGTTGACTCAACAAACTCCTTCAGGAGACAAGGGTCTACAACCATGCTGCACTCACCTCTGCTTCAACTCACCCCTGCCCCCAAGGGTAGCAGTTGCCTTGGCAAGGCACACCTCATCAGCAGTGGAAGGAAGAAGACAGTGAAGGTCAGCAGGGAGATAGAGGTAGGGAGGTAGCAGAGTGCAGAGTGGCCCAAAGGGCAGAGATGGGAGAGAAAGGCAGGTGGAGAGAGTTGAAACACATGTAGTCATGAATGCAGGTGGGCTGCCAAGCCTCAAGAATTTGATCACGTAACAGCCATAACTTCAAGGACCAGTCATAACTGCCATTTGTTCAACACTGTTGTAACTTTGAATGGTTGCTTAACTAATGGTCCTTAAGCAAGGATTACCTGTACTAATTCACCAACTGCAGAAAAATATTTTTTCCCACTATTGAATAATGGTAATTATATTATTGACATAAGTTATTTATTATGTATAATTCCAGTTTGGTAAATGGAGCCCTTTTTCTTATAGTTATTATTAGCGAGTTGATTCTTTCACTCAATTGTATTTTAAATAAAATGATAAATTACTGCCGGGGGTGGTGGCAGCCATTATAATTTCAAATCTGGGTTATAAGTATCTTTTTGGGGTCAGTTGTAACTTGGGGTAATTGCTAAGTGATCAGTCATAAAATAAAGAATACTTGTATCACAAGATCTTACTCCGTGATAAATCCAGAGTTGAAAGAAAATTGGACTGAAAATCCTGAGTGCCATAAAGTAGTTAGATTTAGGATTTTATAAACATTTTTAATCCCACCTTTATAATTTTTTATAAATAACACAAGGTGACAAACAATACTTTTTTCTGTGCATAATCCCCACAACAACAATCCTTTGAGGTGAGTTTGGCTGACATAGAATAATTGGTCCATAGTCATTACTAATTTCCTAATGTTTGCCTTATATACAGTATGTTCAGCTAGAGCACTTCCTGCTTCAGAACCTTCTGTTATTCCAATATTACTATCTGTGCTCCTTCAACTACAAATTGGATGAACAGACAGTGACACTTTTTCAATATTATTACATTAAACCAAGTGGATTTTGATTGATAACCTAATATTCAACTAATGCAAAACATCAATCATTGCAAGTATATTAATTATTTAATATTGCAGTCTAATTCAGAAATCAATGTGCTGAATGAGGGAAAGAAAAACTCACTGTTCCCAGAAGACTTAAAGACAGGGAATGATTTTTTTTAAAAAAAAAAATCTTCTATACTCTCATGTGTTAGTTCAATATGGATCTTTATTCATTTGCCAATAATATCTTTCCCGTTTCCACTTCAGGACCATTTTATCAGTTTTAAGATCTATAATTGAATTAAGTCTGCTTTCAGCACAGAGCAAAAACAGTTGTGCAAATATTGATGAAGTTGTGACAAGCACAGCATAGGAGACAGACCACTAAAGAGAACAAATTTGATACCATTAGCAAGAAGCTTTGTGTGTCAGTGACCTGGGTTCTGCTTCCTAGCAATTAAGTTCATTATGACCTTCAGCTCCAATATAAATAGAGGACTTCAGTTTTCTGTTAATAATGTATGATGTGGTATAGCAAATTTTGATTATTATTCTACATGTTTCATGAGGCTAATTTTTCTATGCAGATTTTTTAAAAAAAACATAACAGTAACAGATGTTTGTAGCACATTTTAAATCTGAAAAATATGAGTAAGGTATATATGGAAATGATTGAAAATAGATTTTCAAAATGCATTCAATGATTTGAGCAATTAATATTTACAGATGCTGTATATAATTAGTCTTATAATTGCTGTTAGTAATGGGAACATTGAAAATAGTCAGATGCAAGAATTTTGTTATGATAATTTACTGTAGCTATAAATCCCTGAATACTCTGTCAAAATCTAGTTGCTCATCATTTTACAAGCAAAGTAAAATAAATAGTTCAATGCTATCTCTGGAAATTCTTCCTACTGTAATACAACTTTTATATAGAAATTCTTCGTTTTTATAGCTTTTACTCAGAATTGTCCCTTGACAGCATCCAAAACTTATTTACTTGATACATGGATAGACCAAATTATCACTCAGAGACAGATATCTATTAAACTAGTTGAGCATCTGGTAAGTTACTTTAGGTCAGTTATTGATTCAATTAGTATATTTATATTGGCTGTATAATTCTCTAGATAGATAACAATAAAAATAAGAAATACAATCTTATAAACAACATGAAAAGAATTGCAGTGTATGCATTTTAATATAGTTAAGTATATTTTAATGTACATTGTTTTTAAATTGATCTAACCAATATATAATTTCTGAATTTCCTTCATTTTGTAATACATCTTTAAGAAAGATATTAAATAACCTAGATTATAGTTTGTTTATAATAGAAAAATTCAAAAAAGAATGTCATGTTTTTAAAAAATCTGAATAGTAAGGAAATAATATAGAAAAGCTGCATTCCGATAATATTCTCTTTAAAAAATCACAAACCAATTTTAAAAATAAGAAAAAGACTGGTTTATGTTTATTTTCATTGCATGGAAAATAATTTTAAATTCTTAAATTTACTTAAATTCTAAAGTAATTTGACACCTGGCTTCATTGAATGGCTAAAATGTTTAATGCATGTGTTGTTAGAGAAATAAAAGCTCTGGTTTATCATGTTTATTTTTATTGCCAAAAATACAAATGAATTTTTGCGTAAGATAAAAAGCAAGGATTCCTGGCAGCATATGAATTCTGTGTTATGAATTTATTCATGAACATTGTGATCCTGAAGAGAATGCTGTTTAGCAGGGTGGTAAGAGAAAGATATAAAACAGTGGAGAAAGTTAGCAATAATTTAGGTTATCAATTATTTATGTTGGATCTACTGTCACAAAATCTGAGTTACCTTGTTCCTTCTTTATAGAATTCATCAAAGAATATTGAACAAATTGACACAACTCAAATTTTTATTTTTGTTTGTTGTGTACTATACATTGATTCTCCTAAACCCGCATCATTCTGAAGTCAGACGAACCAGCTAAATTTTTAAATCATGTGCTATTAAGTCAACTTTGTTTAGATGTTAAGATCATACAGTTTAACATAGAAATATTTTTTTTATTCCTGGGAGAATAAACAGTTGGATATTTCGCAATTGCATAATTTAAGCTTTGCACATAATTGAAAACATTTCTTTTTATAAATGGTATATACATTCTGGTTCTAATAAAGGGATTTAAAATTTCCAAGTATCAGCAATCATATGCATTCACTTATTACATTATATATTTGTATTATGTTTTAGATTTTATGGTAAAGACATTTTGGAATTATAGGATCCATTTAAGTTTTATTCAATAATATAGCTTCAGACATTAAAACAAAGTAAACAAAAGCACAGATCATTATAACTTTTGAAGTTCAACATAAATAATTGTATACCAATGATTAATAATTGTTTATATTGTTTGTTCTTCTATTTCAGAGATGCTGGAAACATCAAAACTGGATTAGAACATCTGGTAAGTTCTAATTTTCTCTTGAATATTTGCATCATCTTTGATATCTGCATTCTAAATGAACAGTTTTGAATGAGCTTTGAATCGCTTGAATTGAGAAAGTCAACTATTTCCCAGAGGGTCAGCTTACTGTTATTATGTGTGAAGCACTTACATTTTCATTTATCTTATGTTTCAAGGGATTTTAATTTTTTTAATTTTTTGATGTGGAGATGAAATAAAATGGGCTATAATCCTTGGATTGATGATTGCCTTAATTATAAACTAAAAGTTGTTCTTCATTGGGGTTTTGGTGGGTTTTTTTGCATATTTAGATATGAAAATAACAAACTTCTGTTTTGAAACACACATTTATATATTGCTTATACATTTCGTTAATTTGATAGTTTTTAAATGCAATATGAGCTTTCTCAATATAGCATGAATTACTCATTTAAATGATATGTTGTTGTTAAATAAAAGTGCAATTTTAATGAAAACATTAAATGTTTAAAAGTTAACAGAGTGTTGTCAGGTTCATAGATTTGATCAATTAGAATACAAATAACTTCACTCAGAGTTCCATTTATGAAACAAGCTAGGTAAGGCAGGTGGGTCAGTGTGGATGTTCTGGACACACAGTAGGGAAACCAGATCTGACCCTTTCCAGAAATGTGAGGTAACTGGTTTACATTAAGTATGTATTGCATCCAACTTCTATGTCTTTCTGAGATAAAAAGGCAAGAGTATTAGATATGTTTGCTGTCATGAGTTGACCAAAATAAAAAAACAGCAATGGCAATAACAATTTATGTCTTCCGTGCATGCACACCTTCTTACCTCTGAATATACATATGCAATGCTCCTTGTAAGTAGTAGGACAGTCTTCCCAGTATCTTGGAGCATCACTCACAACTCTTTTTTTTAGCAGTTTGAGTCTGTCAGTCAGCTCCATTCTCCAGGGAAGCTGGCTAAATCAGCTTTAAGATTTCTTGATAATATCTCTGTTAGATTAGCTTCTAATACTTTGGCCAATACATTGAATCTAGTATTGATTTGCGCACATAACTGAGTTCTCAAAAGATGTAGAAATTTTGATTTACTTTCTCTTGATGGGAACTTCTCAAGTAGGCTTCTTCAATCTACAAAAATAGTCAACAATATGGCAGTTGATCAATAATATATCTGGGTTGATGATTATTCATTTTTTTGGAGGTGGTTATGAATATAGTTAGTCCTTGACTTAAAACAGCAATATGGAATTTCTATCACCAAGCAATGTTTTCATAATGATGGCAATACTTGCAATCCCAGTTGCCATTGATAACTGAATACCATGGTTGTTAGGTGAGGCAACTTTCTGCTAACTTTCCACAAGTCAGTGGAGAAGCTGGCAGGAAGTTGAATATCCTTAGTTGGCAAGCATGTAAATTAGCTGCTGTCAAATAGGCAGGGGAGCCAAGGAGACATGTAGTGAGGATTTGTGAGGAGGTGCACAATAAGAACCATATGAGGAGGGTATGTGAAGATGCATGAGTGAAGTGGCATGGGTCGAAAAGTGCTTGAAGTTGCAATTTTGGTTGGGGGGGATGCATAGGGCTGCATGAGTGACTGGCACAGTGTAAATACTGTGCGACTAGAGAAAAATATGTAATTGGTGGTGACTTACTCAGCAATTTACAATCTTACAATAGCTTCCCCATTGATTTTCTGGGAAAGCCAGCAGGAAGGTTGCAAATAGCGATCATGTGACACTGGGCAGTGCAGTCAATCTTAAGTGCAAACCAGTTGCCAAGCATCCAGATCATGATTATCTGCCCCTGGGGTTTCTGGGACAAATAAAACTCTGAGAACTGATTGTAATCACCACTCGTACTTTCCATGATAACCTCAAATTGTCATAGATGAACAGTACACTGCTTGTACTGTTCTGTATGTTCCCACCAATTTATTTCATTGCAACAATTCTTGCAATAATATCTTGCACTTACTTGGTGCTGTGGCAGCTACAGTTCATAAATTTGATTCATTTCTTTCTTGGATGGTTTCATTGCTTGCCATGATAACAACAGTAGATCTGCTGTCTCAGTCTATTGCATCTGGAGATAGACACATTCCTACCGATCACCTGAGGAGTTTGATAAAGATTTCTCTAATAGTTCAGGAGGTGCTTTATCCATCCAGAAAGCTGTTAACATTATGTTCATATTGTAAGAGGACAATTTTTTAATAACTTCTTCCGAATTTTTAACCTGAGTATCTATTCTTTACTCTGGGGTCCTCTTATTCCTGCTGATTTGGAAAAAAAAAGTACTGTCTTCCTTAAAGGTTTATTTGACTGCTATTTCTTCCTTTCATGTTTCTATTCAGGTACTTCTTTTTTCATATCTAGCTTTAAAAATATACTGTAGTGGGCAAATTCATTCATTCAGTTTGTTTCGATCAGGCTCAGTTAACCTTTGGTATAGCTTCTCTGTGGTATTAATTTAATTCTTCTGTAGGCTGCTTCAACCTACTGGCTATTGTGTCTAGAGTTACTCTCCATGAAGCTTGCATTTCTGGTTGCAGTCATGACAGTTACTTGAAAAGATTAACTTTTATCTCACAAATAATTTATTTTAAAAGAAATCATCTTAGGTTTGCTGAGCATACATTAATAGAATAAATTAGTTAGACTATAATTCAACCACAGTAAAATTGGGTGTGTTATGAGCCAAGACTTTATCAGTCTGTATTTGGAAATATCACAATATTTTAACTCCTCATTTTCTATTACTTCTTCAACTCTATATTCCCACCAATTTTTCATTATTGGCACATAATAATTTTTTTGCAAGTATTCCAGTGAATCATTTAGGTGATTGTGTTATGTTGTTGTTTATTATCTGCGTAATCATCTCCTGTTGATTTATAATGTGAAATAAAGTATTCGTAGGAGCAGTATTGGAAGAATTCAAAGGTCCACCCAGAGCAAAGAAATCAAAATCTTGCCAGAAATAATTCAGACTGTGGAGGCAAGGCATAAATAGTAAGCAGCAGCCTAGCTATTGAATTTTTTTTCATTCTCGAACCAGGTATCCTCTCGTCTGCCTTTTCCTCAGAAAAAACAAAGTTCCCTAACTAAAAAAGTAGAATAATTGAAACAAGGAATCTTTGAGCATGTAATACAGCATAAAAACAACAGAATAAACTTTCCAGCATTGAAACTTGCGCCAAAGAAACAGCTAGCACAAGTATTAAAAGAATCAATACTATAATGTCAAATATAAGTATCAGATCACTGCAAGAAACAAACTAACTATAGATAGTCTTTGATTTACAACCACAATTAAGCTGAGAATTTCTGCTGCTCTGTTAAGTGAGTCTTTGCTCCATTTTATGACCTTTCTTGCCACAGTTGTTAAATGAATTACTGCAGTTAAGTTAGTAACGTTGTTAAAGTGAATCTGGTTTTGCCATTGACTTTGCTTGTCAGAAGGTTACAAAAGATTATCATATGACCCTGCGACACTGCAACCATCATAAACACATGCCAGCTGCCAAGCACCTGTTTATTGTGTATTTTTGGCTGTCCATAGATGTATGGAAAGATGGCTCCACTGCTTTCATCCATTACTTTTTTTTAAGCTTTCTTGGTTAGGTTGTTAAAGGTTCTCTTGATTGAATTATCTAGTTTCTACATTAGGTTGGTTCAACCTTTATCTGCGGGGATGATGATGATGGTTTGATCCTTATTATGTTTTCAAGAGTTACTCTCTTCTGTGAGTTACAGGTAGTCTTCAATTTATGATCACAATTGGGACAGAATCTTGGTTGTTGAGCAAAATGTCATTAAGCGAAATGCCCATGTGCTCACCACAATTCCAGATCTCCCAGTTGCAGTCATTACCATATTTTTTGGAGTATAAGACATATCTTTTCCTCCCAAAAAAGAGGGTGAAAATTTGGGTGCATCTTATACACCAAATGTAGCCCCACCCACCTCCACCAGAGGCCAAAAATGTGAGGCATAGAGGCAGCAATGGTCTGTAGCAATCCCTGCAGCCTGGAACAGCTGATTGAGGGTATTCCGGCAGTCTGATCCATCCATCAATCAGCTGTGCTGAATCAGGCTGCAATAAGTGCTGAAGTTGACCTGGCTAGTCAGAGTTTGCAGCAGCAATCACATTCAGAAAGACACAGTAACTGATTCAGCAAGATTCAAAATAATAATAATAATAATAATAATAATAATAATAATAATAATAATAATAATAATAATAATAATAATATACAAAAGGTAGCCATAAATACAAGCAAAACACAGACAGTTTCACTTTCAGTTCTCAGCTAAGCTAGGCTTGTTCCTGTATATTATTATTATTATTATTATTATTATTATTATTATTATTATTATTATTATTATTATTATTATTATT